TCTTATTTTAAAAGTCCTGTTTTTGATGCACCATAGATAAGCCTGAAAACAAACACCCAAAGATGCTAACAGGAGGAGTATGGATAATTGATATTAGGACAATGAGATTATGAGTAATATTTTTTTTCAAAATTTTGTTGGCATGGTTTTTGTAAAAGAAAATATTAAAAAGAAAATATTAAAGCTATCTTTTTAGAAAAGTACTGTTTTCTTCTTTGATGGAACAGTGCTCTAGAAATAGCTAAAGAAGACACAGGCAGATGAAAAAACATCAGCTAGGTTCCCAAATTCTGGATATATTTTGCTACAGATTTTTCTGCAGTGTATTGGAAATTTAGCAGGGGCTAAATTTACTCATTAGGTCACAGGATTTCAGGTGATGAGGGAAGAGGGTTCACAGCAATGACCTAGGAGGTGGAAATAAAGCAACCCCTCCCCCCACCCCACTCCCAAACTCCCCTGGGGCTTGGTGTTTCTTTGGTTTCCCCTGGACTTCTGCAGCTGCTGTCATAGAAGTTGGCCGCTAGGGGCGCTCTGCTCCATCTTGCAATACTACTGGCGCCCTTTGAGTAGACAATCTCAAAATCCTTCCTCCTCCCATCTTTTAGTAGAAATAAAGGCAAAATTATAAAAATAAATGACTAGTAATAAGAAGAAGAACACTTAGTAGAAAGTTGAGCAGAAAACAAGCACAAAATCATGGAAATAAATGATATAATGGAGAATAGATTCTTTTATCTTAGTGTAACTCAAATCTAGCCACAGATCTCGTTTCTGGGAACACAGGTTAAAAATTTCTTTTCTAAACCAAGACTGGTGTGGATGCTGAATGAATCCTTCAGAGCCTCTAACCTGAGCTACCTGCTCTGCCCCTGCTTCATATGAAAAGAGTCTCAGCCTCATCTTCTCCTTAGGGAGTTCTCCCACTGGGCTCAGGCAGCTTTTAACCACCCTGTGCTTCTCATGCTTCTGGTCTCCTGGTCTCCTAAGAATGGAGGGTGAACTTTTCTCAGCTCAGAATTCAGCCTCTGGATTTAGGCCTTCCTATGCCTACCTTACAGATAACTTTCTTTGCCCTTTCTACAAGTCTGTAAGACCCACACATTTGCTGTCTTGTCTAGTCATTTGAAGTTTTTATTAGGTAAATGTCAAGACTCAGTTTCTCCCATCCAGATGACAACCTTTAGTCTCATAGTTTCCAGTGCATCTTAGTTTCAGTCATTCTAATCTACTGTCCCAATAAGTATATACGTACTTGTTCAAACACGTGTTCCCAGTTTGTTCAATACAATCACCATCCCTATGTCTTTGCTAGTATCTCCCTCTATTCTCAAAAATGGGCAAAAGGCCACAAAGAGCAGATGGCATTTGGGGAGGATTACCTCATGTTTGCTACCCCATTGGGTAGGTGGAAGACTATATCCGCATCATCCTTTAAAGTCCCCAACCCTCAGCGTCTCCCTGTTTACCTGGACTTTCCCTTAATTCCTGTTCTTCATCTGAAGGATGCCTCTCACTGAAGACTCATTTGCAGAGCAGAGATAACTGACACACTCTGAACCCACTGGTAGTTCTGGCAGGTTACCCACTGCCCTCTCTGTCCCCTACTCTCTGGGCCCCCTCCTCGGGGAGTGATCTTGAAGAATTCTACTTATCAGTTTTACAGCATTCAAATCCCTTAACCATATAGTAACAATAACACACATACAGTAAGAGGAGGATTGATCACTCACACACACTTCTAAGGGAAAATGGGAAGCTCTCCCCGGTAAGAAAAATATGGGTCTCCACCCCACCACAAAAAAATCCCAGGATGCCCCAGAATGCAGTTTCTTCTCCTCATGACGTGTTGTGAAGCACGTCAGCTGCTTCTTGTTGCTGTGCAGATCACCCAACATTGGGTCACTGAGACAGAAGGCAGCGCTAGCTCCCACAGCTGATAGGATTAGGAGATGGTGCTTTGTCAGCCTTGACTGAGTCGAGAGAAGCCCTCAGCATACGCAGGTGAGCTGTGAGAGAGAGCGGATGTGGGGGGCTGTGATGGGTCTCGGTTGTATGGTGCAGACGTTTTCTCCTTGCAGTGCATTTGTATGTATTATCTTTTCTGTTAAGTTTGCATTTGGGGGGGGGGGGTTCCTATCGATAAAAACCTGTTCTTTATCATATCTGATTTCAGGTATTGGCCACATGCCCCTCACAGGATTTTTGAGAGGCTCAAATGAGATTATATATGTGAAAGAGCTCTGAAAATATAAAGTTTTGTGTAAATGAAAGACATTATTCATTTAATTATAAATTTTACATAAAGAATTAAATAATATATCTCATATTTGGGGGCATAATTACCCATACACACTCTTTTCCCCCCAATCTATAACATTCTATCTCCTATTCTTTCCGAGACCTGGGCAGGGATACTATTTATAATCTTGAAGGGCTCTAGCCTTCTAAAGCAGTCAGTATTCTCTAAAAACCAGCATCACATTCATTTCTAAAGGAAAAACTGCAAAATTACAAAACAAAACAACAAAATAAGTAACTAGAAACAGAAATGATGCATTAGAGTATTTTAAAGCAGATGAAAGATGAATATAATACACTATATTAGATTATATCTCTTTGATGGTGTAACACAAACGTTATAAGACATTATTCTTAATGACATGAGAAACACTTGAATGAAACTAAAGGCGGCATAGATATTATCATTTGTACAACTTGCCTTATAGAACAGCAGAAAAACAGGCTTAGGTTCCAAAAGTACAGAGCTAAGAGACGTTAGAACACTAAATCATCAGCCTTTCCCTCAGCAGCGTTGCTATGGTGACAGCAGGGCCACCACACAGCCTCTCACTGCCTGCACTTCTGCAGTAAAAGCTTTCACTGAACACATGTTGGATTTTTTAGGCACACACCCCATCATCAAATACAAAGACATATTGGAAGCAGCTTTAGGAGTCATTTGCAAAACAGAAGTTGGGTCTCTTTTCTTTATGCTGTACTGATGAGACCCTATGGGCTTCGAGAATTCAGTCATTCATGCCTTTGTTCATTTGACTATAGTGTACTGAGTGCCTACTGTATGACAGGACCCGTACTAGGCACTGCCTATGACTCCTGGTAGAGACAGATAAATAGGGAATTCTGATAGAAGATCATATCAATTCTCCTGGGGTACATTAAAAACAGGTATTCTGGAAATATGCAAGGACAACCTTGGGGGATCAGGGGAGATATCCTGGAAGAAGCTGTCTCTAAAGTGAAATTTATGTATCTTTAGGAGTCTAGTAGGAGATTAAGGAGAGTGAGGTGGAAGAAATGCTCTAGACAAAGGGATTAGCATGTGAACAGTCTAAAGGAAAAAGAAAACATGATACCTCCAGAGAACTGAAAGTTCTACTGTTTGAGTTAGTTATCCATGTGTGTGGGGAGGCAGAGTAGCCAAGGGATGGGGGTAGGGGATGGGTGGACAAGGAGTGGCAACAAATGAGATCAGAGAAGTAAACAAGACTAGATAGTGAAATGCCTCTGTGCTACATTCAGGATTTTGAGTACTACCTCGGAGGACAACCGAGAAGTCATTAATGAGCTTTAATGAAGAATCACGGCTTTATTTGGCTGTTCTGAAAGGCCTTGTGGAAAAATTTAAAAACTGGCAAGAAAGGAAGAAGAGGCAAGGTTGGAAGCAAGACAACTCCAGTTAGACCACTATTGCAATAATCTGGGATGTTTGTGGTTTAGATTTTAAATGAAGATCGTAGAGTTAAACAGTGGACAGAAGTATTCAGATTCAAGATATTATTATTAGAGTAGCTTGGGGATGACTTGTGGTTTTTGCCACATGAGAGAGATGAAAAAGTCAAGAATAAGGTTCTGATTGGGACAGCTCAGTGCACGGTGTTTCTATTCTTAGGCCCCCAGACTCAATTCTCAGTTCTCAGTAGAGAATTCAGAAACACCGTTTGCCCTTAACAGTCTATTCCTGTGCCATAGTATATGTCCTTGGGCTCATAATTTTGGAAATAGTAGATTGTAGGAATCATCCTGGATCATCACTTTCCTGAAGTCCTTATCTAAGACAGTGCAGGTATAGAAAGTATGAATTAATCACTCCTCCCTCCAAATAAAGAATTCTAAGATTACCAAGCTCACTGCTTAAGAAGTCTAAGTAGATTGAAAAGACATGAAGATGTATGGGATAAAATTTCCTTAGGGATATAGGAAAAGGGCATATTGATTTCACTATTTTCAGGCTCTCTCTCGACTCATGTTGCTTATTCCTGGATTTGAAATTGGAAGACTCAGAAAAATGCTGTTTGGAGGGCAGACAAATGGGGATGGTGGTGGCTCAAATACAATTTTCAAGGATTATAGTCCTCTTGTGTACAACACTGGGAGTAAGATCTGACTGTTTCCCATCCACATTGCTGCTTAGAATTTCCTCCAGTTCTGAATGAAGGGCATCTAAGTTATCATATATGTTGAGTTCCATCACTAGAGAAGATTAACTACAGCAGGTGTCCTAAGTAAGGCCCATGACCCAGCTGATGATCTCTATTTTAACTCCTCAGTTGAACAAATCTGTCTGCCTCACAAATGCTTTTTATGCCTGTCAGATAGGAGGCCTCAGCAAATACTGAAGGGTGACCTGGACGTGACTTAACGACCCCTTGTAAAGTTCTGTTCAATAAACTGGGTACAGTTGTTTTCTTGCCCCATCTAATCCTCACAGCTACCCTTGAGGTAGATATTATTATCAACCCTCAATTTAAGGAGCATAAACTTTGAAGTTCAGAGAGGTCAAGAACTTTACCATAAACGCACTCAGCTGGGAAGGAGTCCAGTGCTGCCTCGCAACCGGGTTTCTGAGTTCAAACGTAGTGTCCTTCCCCTAGCAGCATGCCCGGGGCCCATTCCCAGCCTCTGCAGGGCAGAGATGGAGAAAAGGCTGCTCTGAAGCTTAAAATAGTCTGGCTCCCCCAAGCCCTTGGGAAGCGGCCTCACGGTTCTTTCCCTGGCCCTTCTGATGCAAATCCCCCGAGGAGAATCGGCCTCTGAGATCCCAGAACGAGATGCTGTGTCAGTCCTGCAGCACGGGCTTGGCTGGGGTCCGGGAGCAGGGGGACCCGCCCCATCTCTCTCGGGCGAGGTAATTGTGGGGAGCCGTATGTTGACTCAAAACCGAGATGGCAGGGAGGGGCCGCGAGGGAAAAACTTTCTCCATTTTGGCCCTCGGTGATGTCGCAGTTTTTCTCCGCTCTGCTATCAGACGTGTACCCGCTTCAAACCCGACCCCAGGTGCCAAAGAGAGGGGGTCGGGCACTTCCCGGCTGGAGATGCTCGCGGCCCCGGCCAGCCCCCTTGGGGTCGGGCTCCGCAGAGAGGGAGGGGCGCGCGGCGCTAGAGGGAAGCGCCCGCGGCGAGATCGGGCGGTCGGGGTGCCCCACGAGTCACCCGGGGGTCCGGCAGGTGAGGGAGGCGGCGGGGAGGCGGCGGCGTAGGGGGAGCGGCGGCCGGCAGCGGCCGCGGCACCACGTGTCCGGCCGGGGCGGGGCGCCGGGGCGCGCCCTCGGAGCCGAGAGAGCCGCGGCGGTGGCGGTGGCAGTGGCGGCGGCGTGTCGGCCCGGCAGCAGCCGCCGCCCGCAGCCCGCGCCGGCTCAGCGCGGTGTCCTCGCTCCCGTGCCCGCAGGTGCCTCCTCCTGGACGGCGGCAGCGGCGGCGCGGGGACCCGGTGGGCAGCAGAGCGATGGGACCCCTTCGAGAGACCAAGGTGAGGAGGGCACATTATGCGGGCGCGGGTGGCAGCGTCCGCGGGCACCGGAGAGAGAGGAGGGAAGTGGGCACCGCGGGGCAGCGGGCGAGCCAGGTGAGGGCTGGAGGGGTGGCGTTCAGAGTCGCGGGGGATGGGGACAAGGAGGTAGTGGGGACGTTGGGAGGGCAGAGGAGCGTTTGCTCAGGTGATGAGACCCAGGAGATGGGAAGATGGTACTAGAGGAAAAGATTTGAGGGGTTGACATGAGGATTAAAGGATTGATTTTGGAGGGTTAATCCCGCCTCCTGAAATTGGGGATTTGGGATCTGGCTCTCAAATGATGTCCGGAGTGTGATGTGAATAAAAAGGATTGGGTGTTCTGGTGACTGAGAAATAAGGTCCCTTGCATGTCAGCGACCCAGCATTGGTTCAGGGTCTGCAGTGTGCGGAGAGTGGCTGACGTGGGATACCTGCTGGGGGACTGATGTGCAGAACAAATCCCGAGGCTGGGTGCGGTTTTCGCCCGGGATGGGGGGGACGCCCGAGCTACCTCAGGAGTTCCCCGCGGCGGAGGCTTTCCCTTCAACTCCTGCACTCTGCAGACCTCCCAGAGGTGTTTACTTTGGCAGCGACCCTTCCTGGTAAGCGTTGTGGAAATGGGCAGGAGGTCATGTTTCCAAATAGTATTTGTTATCCAATGGAAAGGCCTTTTTCAGCTGCAGAGGTTGGAGGGAGCGGTGAGTTTTTTGCAAAGAGCTCCTCCTAGGAATCCATTTTAATAAGGCAGGGTGGTGGTGACCCTGAAAAACACAATTTAAGATTCCTTCTGCTTCTAGATGATATGCCTTGTTGCCTAAGGTTTTAGCCTCAGTTTCCTCATCTGTAATAGGGATTTAAGTTGGGGTCTTCTCTATGGCCTGGGTTGTAAAGGTCAAATGGGATAATGGTTGGGAAAACTCTTTGAAAATTGGAAAACCTTGCCAAAATATTACTTTTTATGCATTTTTAAAACCAAGGTATCGCCCTCTGTGTTTAATGCTGTGTTTTTTTAAGGAGAGAGAGAAAACTCTCTTCTCCTGGGTGTCTTGTAAGGAAAACAAAAGCCAAACATGGTGTAAAAGGTGGAGCCATCTTACTGGGTATTGGATTTTTGTTTGCTTTTCTGTTGGCAACAAGCCTTGTGTACCAGGATATTAATGAATAATTAAGATCCTGGCCAGAAGAGGAGGGATTTGAAACATAAGTCCGCATGATCTATCAGGAAAGAATTGTTCCAGGTATAGGGGTCTACTTAGTGAGCAGACAGGAAAGCAGAAATCAGATTGCCACAGCTAATTCAGGAAGAGCAAAATGGAAGTCTAGAGGAAATCAAGGAATAAGCCAGAGTGTGCTTTGAGTAATAAAGAGCCTTTGAGAGAAGCAGAAGCTTGAATGTGATAGAAAAAGCCAGAGTGGGAAGGTGAGTTAGGCATAGCATAGGTGAATGGAATGGCTTTCCTGCTAATGGAAAGTGTTCATATGTGTGTGTGTGTGTGTGTGTGTGTGTGTGTGTGTGTGTGTGTGTCCACACTCAAGTATGTGCTCTTCAGTAGATTGGAAGGATTAGGTCAGTGGCAGAGTTTCAGTGTTCATTTAAGCAACCGAGATAAGGACTGCTCTGTGAAGATTCAATATTCAGAAATGTGATTTCTTAGACACTGAGTCCAGAAGGGACAAACAGAGGTTAAGAGGGGGAAACAAGTTTCCTTTTGTTTTGTTTTTAATGTCCAATTTTGAGAAGGAGCAGAGAGTGCAGCATCATGAGAAGGAGATTTCCCGAAGCCGAATTCCCCGTCTGATTCTGCGGCCCCATCTGCCCCAGCAACAGCACAAAGTGTCCCCAGCCTCTGAGTCTCCCTTCTCTGAGGAAGAGAGCAGAGAGTTCAATGCCAGCAGCTCTGGGCGCTCGGCGAGGACCATAAGCAGCAACAGCTTCTGCTCAGGTATAGTACCCAAGGAAGCCCCCCCTGTCATGGAGTGTGAGCTCTGCTGGTGCATTGTGAATGGACCGGGGTGTGCCCCTTAGAGCCCGGGTCTACACTTCTGTTATTAGGATGAATTGTGCTAGATCGCACCTTTTTGGCACTTTTGACCTTCACATACAGCAGTTTCATATGGTTCGACCCTGATGGACATTTGCACCTGTTTTTCTATGTTATTCTAGTTTATAATTTACCACATGAAATCTGACTTTGGTTTCAATGACTAGAAAACGATTCCTTAATAAATCTGGGAAATGAATTAGCTTGCATTTTTATAATAGCAACCTTTTTAAAGCTGTGTACTTCTGATTATAGAATCCCCAAAGACAAAACAACTCCTAATGAATGAGGTCAAGATTAAGGAGGTTTATATCCCAGGGCCAGCCTGACCTTGTAGTTTAGAGGAAAAGAGCACAGGCTTTGTAATCTGCCAGACCTGATGGAATCCCTGACCTTTTCACCATTTACAAGCTGAACGACCTTGGGCAAGTGGCTTAACCTCCTTCAGCCTCAGTTGTTACATCCATAAAATGGGATGGTAACATCAACCTTGTACAGTTGCTGTAATGTTGAATGAGACCGAAAGGAACTCCTAGTACCTGGCTTATAGAGGTGCTTAATCCATGATGGTTCTTAAAAAGATAAACTGGCGATGTCAGTTTGGATGCATGGTTAAGGAAGTCTCCTTAAAGTTATGAGCACATCTGGTAAAGGCACAAATCTCTTTATAGCTTCTGAAGGTGCCACCATTATTAATGACAGAGCCCATTACAACCCATTAAAGCACATGACTTGGAATGACTTTATTCTTTGAGAAGTATTAGAAAATTGGGTAAAATTTAAAAGAATGACTGTCTTCTGAGTAATGAAGAATGTTTCATAGTGGATAATTTTTAGGGTTTATTTAGGGAACATTTAATTAGAAGGCTCACACATGTATGCAAAGGGACATGTGGATCAAGATGCTGTGATTAATTCCCGAGTTTAGCAAGATACAGTATTCTAATATTTTTAGTATCAATGTATTTTTTGAGGTTTCTTTAAAGTCCAGCTTTGGACTCCTTGCATAATTTCATGAAATAATTCTATCCCATGCATAAATTGTACATTAGGAATACCATGCTGCCAACTTTTTTTTCTCTGTAAAGCCTCAGATTTTCTGCTTGATTCTGAAAAAAATTCTATCAAAATGCTATACCTTAAAGCTTGTTTCTTGCCATTGGTATTACATGAATCTAGTTTAAAATGGAGACCCACGGATGGTTTGCTTGATACTCTTGCAAGAAGAAAACACAAAGATACCTAGAACCTGGAACCATGTTTGCAGAAGGCAGTGCTGTTGCCTGGACTCCATTTTGGAGCTCAGGATTCACTCTGTTTGAGTGTGGATGAACCCAGGGGATGTCATTTCAAACTGACACGCTTTGTTTACATAACTCCATTCCACATTTTTCCTGATGTTTTCTCCACATAATCGTTTTCTCTATGACTGACTTCAGGGTGAGTAGTGTTAGGAAGAAAAAAAAAAAGATGGTCAAAACAAAAGAAAAACTCCACATATATTTTAGAAAATATATTAGGCAAACCAATAAGATTATTAACTTTGGTTATGACTCACTCTGCCCAAGAGCCATTCTCAGATGATCTCTCCTCCCCAGGGACCTGTCTCCCACTAAGGCCATAATGCTGTACATGAAAATCGAAAGTAGATATTGATCCTTCTGCCATTAACTAGCTGTGAATTGAGTGGCAGAAGTGCCTAATTATGAGCATCTGTAAACCTGTCTTTCCGTCTTGAGCCTCATATCCAGTCTCGGGATGGATGACTCTGTTCCTAGGCGTCATCTTTCTATGTTGGTGCTTCCCCAAGGTTTGGGTCAGTGCCTTTCCTTCTTTGCTTTCCTCTCCTTTGGAGCCCCCACAGGCCCCAAGACAGCTTTGAGTGCTGCGCTGACTAAAATTGACAGGAACCCCCTTTGGGGGCGTGTTAATGATGCTTTAGGAGGTCAGTCGGTGGATGGGAAATAAATGGGTTTGGTACTATGGGGAGCATTAAAGCTGCAGGCAGTGAGGTAGAGAATGTACAACATGTCCAACCAGCAGGGGGAAATAGCTCGTTTCAATCCAGCCACTTTAACACTGAGGCTAGAATATGTATTGTCTGCTTCATCGTGGCATTTAAGTTAGAGAACAAGGTACAGGCAAACATTAAAAATGCCATCCTCTGCTAGGATTAAACTAAGATAATTTAGAGATCTCCTGTAGCTTCATAGCCTCACAGTGATCATTCTGCGTTAGCTTGTGCTCTTTATAAATCATCACGTTCACTAATGCGAAAGGGGACGTGCAGAGTTAGGGGGAGTCTTACGATCAGGTAGTGAAGTTATGGAGGAACACAATGCAATTTAATTTGAAAAGTACATTTTCAGAACTGCAAACTAGAGAATCTGTCCCCAAATTTGTATCAAAGGCATTAATTGTGAAGTACGTCGTATGTTCTAAGATCTTCAGTTTTTAAAAGAAGGATGTGGTGAGCTTATATGGAATTAAATTTACCTAATATAAAGAATTATCCTTCATTTTGAGAGTCCGGCTTTCCTAATTCCTTATATAGTATATTGTATTTTTGTTTTATAATGTCATAACAAAAGTCATGATGGTCGGTGGCGGTTAAACTTGAGCAAAACAAATGACAACTCCACGTTGGTGTGTTCTCCCATTATGTTTTTCTTTTAATTTTACTGATCTGTGAAATGAAAAGACCGGGAACCATGTATTTTCAAAGTGACCTGTCCATTTTTCCTACTCTCTCCATTCCCTCCCCTACTCCACTGCCTTCCCCTTATCTTCCCCTGGGAGTCTTGACAAGGAACATTTAATGACTTGATATTCTATATGCTAATTTGTATGTTGTATCTCTCTCATTTCAGAGAAGGGAGTTGTGTGTGACCTTTTGCAATTCATTTGGGGTGTATCCCCAAAGAGCGTTTCTTTTAATAACTTCTTATTAACAGACTTTCTTTGCAGATATGCCTGATTTGTGCACTTCCTCGGCACACACGTTTTGTACTCCGACATCATTCTCCTGATAAAACAGTCTATCCTTTACAGTGTGTATTTAGTCTTCGTCACTGTGAACTTAATTAGGCATAGTTAAGTCTGTATGGTCTTGGAGGCCAGGCCCTATTCTGTGTGCATGGCAAGTAAAATGTTATATATTCTTGGTAAATATTAACTAAAGTTAAAAAAAAGAAAAGAAGAATACATAAGGAAGTACATTTAATAGTAAGTCAATAGAAACAAAACATGCTTTCATGTCCCCTCTTTTATTCTTTTTTTTAACGATTTATTTATTTATTTATTTATTTTTAGGGAGGTGGGGAGAGAGAGAGAAAGAGAGAGCAGGGGGTGGAGCAGCGGAAGAAGGAGGGAATCTCAAGCAGACTCCCCCGCTAAGCGCTGAGCCCCCCTCCCCGCCCCCCCCCACCGCCCACTGCAGGGCTCCATCCCACAACCCTGAGATCTTGACCTGAGCCAAATTCAAAAAGTTGGACACTTTAGCCACTTAGTCAGCCAGGGGCCCACCCACTTTTATTTTTAAACAGTTCTTGTAATCAGGGGTTGAGAAGATACCATCCCAGCATCTTGCTTCCCCCAACACTCCTGCCCCCTTGTTTCATGTTTTAACACGTGTTCAAACCCCTATTTGTGATTTGTGTCCTCAGTGTGGTCCACTGAATGAGTCCCCTGTCCATTCTTCTCCTTTTCGCCTTGTTGGTAGTGAATTGGGTTTGTCGTCATACCGTGACTCCAGCCGCCCTTGACAAAGCTCAGGACCTGGATAAATCAGTCCGTCCCCTCTGTCAAACACCTGACACAGCAGCATGCTGTGCATTCCTCTGTCTTAGTTGAGGTAATAATCACCCCTTGAGGCCGGGAGGCAGATGGATTGCCGGGTTTTACTCTAGTTCTCCTTGGGGTGCCTTGTAAACATGGCAGGTGGAACAAATTATGTGTAGAGAACACTGGTGGTTTTATGGGAGACCAGTGATTTCTCAGTTATTTCCGTGTTGCTAATGTGCACACACAGATACATGGGCAAGTTTGTGACTTAACCCATTAAACACATGTACCGGGTCAATCCCCTAACTGGTCAGATTCTAAGAGTCTCTGCAGCTGAATCCTGAGTAAGGTGTTTGTGGAAAGTATTTTGGTTTTTACAGTGGCTGGGAAGAAATTCTTCTTCGAGTGCCAGTGACCTGGAGGTAATCATTGTTGCTGTTTGTGGGAGGAACAATTAAGGCAAATTACAACCTGACTAGTGCCCTGCTGTGACATGACAAGACCTCCAAAAATTTGCCAGGCCTTGCCAAACAGAAATATTTCTGCTTTGCTTTTGTCCAGTTGAGGAAACTTGGCATCTGCATAGAGTAAACCTTTGAACATAGTAATCAGAATGGAGATGAATGGCTTCAACTAAAGTGAGCTGCAGTACGGAATTATTCTATAATTGAATGACTGCCAACCTGCTGTGAAGAAAAAAAACAAAGACCCTAAGACTTTAGTATCATTTTAATGAGTAGGGGACCCAGGCACTGTTGTGAAATATGTATTTCAAGTGCTTAGCTGCTTCAGCTGCAGAAGTAAGTACCCAGTGATACAGGTTACAAATGAAGGGCACAAGGGAAATAGTTCTTTTTTTTTTTTTTAAAGATTTTATTTATTTATTTGACAGAGATCACAAGTAGGCAGTGAGGCAGACAGAGAGAGGGGGAAGCAGGCTCCCTGCTGAGCAGAAAGCCTGATGCAGGAATCGATCCCAGGACCCTGAGATCATGACCTGAGCCGAAGACAGAGGCTTAACCCACTGCGCCACCCAGGCGCCCCAGGAAATAGTTCTTGAGGGTGTGGTGACTGCAACAAAGAGGGCAAGAGCATAATTTTTTGCCATTTAATAACAG